GGGGCTCGATCCCAGGACCCTGGGATCATGACCTGAGCCGAAGGCAGACGCTTAACGACTGAGCCACCCAGGCGCCCCTTCTTTAGAAGTTCTTACAGTTCTTAATTACAGAGTTTTAAAATCTAGAATATCCCTTTGGCTCTTCGTGTGATGGATTTTTAGTTATCTTAACATTTTCCATCTATTTTTTCTTTTTAAAATATATATATTAATCGTAGTTATTTTAAAGTCCTTGTCTAAGTCCCTTTGTATTGTCTGGTATTTCTCTTTCATTTTAATATTTGGTCCTTTTTTTTTTTTTTTTTGCATGGCAGTTTTTGGTAGGAGCCCGAAATTGCCTATGTAAAGTTACAGAAGCAAATGTTTGTCAGGTTTGCTGCGGCAGCCTGAGTACCAGACCTCACCTGGCTCTGTTGAGGCATGTTTCTGGGCTTTGTGGGAGCTCTTCCACTTTGTGTCTTACTCCTGGGAGCTAGCCCTGTCAGTTTCTCAAAGTACAGTGTTTGCCACAGTCTTAACACTTCGGACTTCAACTTCTGTCTCCTTACTGTGTAGTGGTTTTGTTTTGTTTTGTGTTTTGTTTTTTATTTTTTTGGTTTTTTTTGGTGGTGTTGGGGCCAGGATGTTGCCATGGGTGCGTGCAGGTTCCTAGTCAGCAAATGAGAGGAATTTGTAGAGAGACGGGACTGTCTGGTTTCTTTCCTGCACTTTCCCCCTCTCCTGCATTTCCCTGCCCCTTTAACTCCTAACATTTAGGCAACCCTAATTTTGACTCCTGTCTTTCCAGCCCAATATGACTGTCACTTGCTGTTTGAATGAGTTATTCCAAGCTGCAATTTGGAAAATGTCCCTAGGGACAGAATTGAGGTGAACATGGAGCTTGTCTCCTATGCTTCCTGCCTTCAAGGATTGTAACTCCTTCACTCTTGATAATTGGTTGACCCTACCTCCATGCGTCTGAACAGTGGTTTATATGTTTTCCCCAGTTCTTAGCATTCTTTCAGGCAGGCGGCTTAGTCTAGTATAAACCGTTAGCTCTTGGTTAGAATCAGACATCCAAGGTGTCATGTTTTATTTTCCTTATGTCTAAGGGTTAAAATTTTAAAATCTTTTTTTTTTAAAGATTTTATTTATTTATTTGACAGAGAGAGAGAGACAGCGAGAGAGACCTGACTGCCTCCTATACTGCTGATAATTAAGATAAACACTTAATCTCTGTCAAGTGGTTTATGGAGAGTAATTTTTATAATATTTTATTTTTGATATGAAAAACATGAATAGAAGAAGTCAGTTCTGGGAGGAGGGTCAGGCTTAATCTAAAAGGCCATGGGAATATAAAATTGTTGCACATAATATATTTCTTAATTTAAAGAATATTCAACTGGCTTCTTATATTTAATCAGAAATATAGAAATCTTTGTGTATTTTTACTTTGAAAGAGTGAAAACTGGCTTTGAAAATGACTTAAGTGGAGCGCCTGGGTGGCTCAGTCAGTTGAGCGTCTGCCTTCGGCTCGGTTCATGATCCTGGGGTCCTGGGATCGAGCCCCGCATCAGGCTCCCTGCTCAGCGGGAAGCCTGCTTCTCCCTCTCCCTCTGCCTGTAACTCTGCCTGCTTGTGCTCTCTATCTCTCTGTCAAATAAATAAATAAAATCTTAAAAAAAAGAAAAATGACTTAAGTATTAGCTTAATATAGCGTTCACAGATTTTTGGATTCTTCTCTAGTGGATTAATGACCTAGAAAATGATGAGTTGTATGTCACATGGCCTGCAAGTTGCCAGGAGCTTCTGAAGCCCGTGTTCCCTGGAACTATACCTTCCGTAAGGCGTAATTTTCATAATTTGGTGAGTTTTATATGACATTTTGTATACATCTTTTATAAAGGTAACAGCATTCTTTTTGGATTAGCCTGTTCTTGGTGAATAGACATCTGTGTAATACGGAGGGAAATACTTGCCTGATGCAGCAAGCTTGAGGTGGCATTGGCCAACGAGACCTCCAAAGCCAGCGATGCCACAAAGCTGCCTCTTCTTATTTAGATGTGCTTTTATAGTTCCGATGTGAAATTGATAAGTTACGTTCACATTTTCTGAAAGGAATTTGATTGAACTTTTTTCCTTCTGTGTTCTAAAGAACTAATTAAAGATTAAAGTTTAGTACATTTCAGGGGAAAATTCGTGGATCTCACTTTATCATCTGTGTGTATGAGTTCACTCTTATAATATTAAATAACCTGATACAACTGTGAAATGTGCAGAAAACACTTAGCTGGGGCTTTATTTTTTCTCCACAAAGAAAGTGAATATGTTATTTCCTACAGCAGTGTAGAGTAAGCAGTTATATTAATGCTATTTTTTTCAAAATTCAATTACTATCTTTTAAAAAAAAATACAGAAAATCCAATGCACATTCAGAATAAGGTATTTCACTTGTTATTAAAAAGGTTTACTTTGTGCTGTGCTTCCAAAAAAAGGATGAGTGATCTGATATTAAATTCTATGTGTTATTCAGATGTGCAGCTTTTAGAAATCCTTCATTACCTATGAAATTCTTTCTTATATAGAATTCTTTAGAATTGCTGAAAATTTCTTTTAAAAAAGATTGCACCTTGAATTTCATACTTTTAGTGACAGAAACTAAACTAAACTTGAATTTCATGAAAATTCCAAAATGTTAAAATAGTGATTATAAACTATCTACTTTCTTTTAGGTTCTGTTTATTGATCCTGCTCAAGAATATACCTTGGATTTTATAAAACTTGCTGAACTTTTCTATTATCATAAAATTCCTCTTAGGTAATTGTCAATTTATAACATTAAACAGCTAAAGGAAATCCAGTGATGTTCATGTTGTGCCATAGAGTATTGCACGGAGTATTCATGTGGAATTCAAAGCAGTGGTGGGTGGTCTTTAGCGCCTGACACAACATGGTTGTGCTGTGAAACATCATTTACCTTTATGGTAGACTCTGTTAGTCAAAGCTGCTTAGTAATCTCGTTAACCCTGTTCATTTCCTGAGAGAATGATCTGATCACTTTGGGTGCTTAAAGATGGATCCATTTCCCTGAGGTTGCGTTAAGAGTATACTTTCCCTTTATTTTTCTGGAAAAACATGGTCATTTGATAATATCACCACCAGAGAGAGTTTGACAGTTTGAAGGAATCCATTACACAGACAGATGTTGGTGACTAGACATTACAAATCAAACCATTTCAAATATAATACTCCCTCTTCCCCCCTATTAACACATTCTATCCATCTAGATGTTATAGGCTAGTAATGTTGAAAAATCGTGTTGGTTGTGATCCAAGGAGTAGTTGTGACATTCCTTATTCACCTTCTTTTCCCAGAATTGGTTTTGTGTTCATTGTTAACACAGATGATGAAGTTGATGGAGCAGATGACGTTGGCGTTGCTCTTTGGCGAGCTTTCAAGTATATTGCAGAAGAACGTGATGTATCACAAGCGTTTATTTCCATAGTACAAGTGAGTGCACTAGGTATAATTTCTTTAGACTGTACAGTGGGTTTTTCTGCATTATTACTGTAATTATCATTTATTATTTTTATCTTTCAGAGTTTATAAAAAACAATCATGGGGATTAATACAGACGATGAATTTGATTCTTGCAACTCCCAGTTGAAATACATAATGTTGTCCCCACTTTATAAATTAGGCAACTGACACTCTGCCAAAATAGATGAATTTGCTTGAGTTCCTCCAGCTGCTAATAGAATTTAAATTGTATATATAAGTTTAGAGGAAAACATACTCAGAGAAAATGATGAGTCAGGGAAGAATTCCTGAACCAGGTCTTGAAAAAATCATGAATAAAAAAGATTACTGCAAACTTAAATATTCTAAATGACAAGGTATGCAGACCCTTCCTAGAGAATTTCAAAGGAGAAGGAGATCACTTCATGACAGCAAATTAGGTGGAAATAGCAGGATGGGTACTGAATTTGACAAAGAGATTGTATAAAAAAAAGTTAGAAATTGGCAAGAACTTAAAGAACAATAAGAAATGGGAAGATTATCTCATAATTGAGGTTTTGAAACTATTATGGCCCATTGTGGAAACAGATGTATTGAAGAACTGTATTATTATTAAGAAAGTCAGACCATAGCTTAAAAACTAGCTTTTGGGGCTCCTGGGTGGCTCAGTCGGTTAAGCAACTGCCTTCGGCTCAGGTCATGATCCCAGGGTCCTGGGATTGAGTCCCCCATCGGGCTCCCTGCTCCGCGGGAAGCCTGCTTCTCCCTCTCCCACTCCCCCTGCTTGTGTTCCCTCTCTCTGTGTGTCTCTCTCTGTCAAATAAATTAATTTTAAAAATCTTAAAAAAAAAAACAAACTAGCTTTTGTTCATTTTAAAATTCATTGGTCTTTTTGCTTTCACCCACTATTATAACAAGGAATGATTCTTCAAAGTGAGAGTGTGAAATTACAGAAGCCCTGTATACTCCCTGCCCTGCTTCCATAGTTCCTGGGAAAACCACTGAGTACCTCATGAACTCAGTGTCCTGCCGCGCAGAAACTACCAGAGCCTCAGTGACTTGGGGATACACTTTGTTCTGTAAAATAGTGCTGTGGATTACGTGTCAATTTTGTATCTCAGGCTATTACTTTTATTAACTGATTGGTGTAAGAATTTATAAGGGACTTAGACTGACATAGCTTTTATTGCAGTCTGGCCACCTTATCGTGAAAGGATCAGTATGATAGTCAAAACTAAGAAACTTGAAGACCTTTTGAAATTCTCCTTACCTAAGTTATCTTAATTCTCTCTATTGACTCTCTATTCTGGAAGCGCTTTGTATCAGACATAAATTTGCATGTGAATTCATACTTCGCAATCACTGGCCTTTTGAATTATCTACTGTGATGTTCAGCATAATACTGTAATATCTTGGAAGACCAAATTATACTTGAAACCATAGGTTTCCATACAACGCAGCATGAAAAGTATTAAATATGTGCTATAGCCTACAAGTTGTACTAAGCAATTAGAGGAAAAAGAGGGAAAAATGTGTGAGGAAGGAATATTTATAGCATACTAGAATCCGCGAGGGTCTGAAGTGTGCAAATGTCGGTGGTTATTCAGACTATGTATGCTTCAACCCTAAAATTTTTGTAACCCATAGAAAACCAAAACATGATTGAGCTAACATCCTATTGGGAATGTATTGTATTGTATCCTTCAGATGACTTAGCTTCACTAATTTAGAATAATTTGAGCAAAATCTAGTCTTTTACTAAAATATGTGAATTATAAAATCTCTTTAATATTTTTTCATTACTTTCAATGAGCAAATTATTTTATCTAAGTTAGGTAATTTGAAAATATGGTGTCAGGAGAAAGAAGAATGTAGAAGGTCAAAATTATATGAAAATTTTTGACATGTGATGGAGAATTATGATAGAGTAAGTACAGTATTTATATGGTAAAACAATCAGACTATGTATCTCAGCTCTTCAGAGTGGCTATGCAAATTTACTAATTTAATTTTCTCTTCCTACCTTGCAAGATTAAGATTAAAAATAATGTTGGGTGCCTGGGTGGCTCAGTCATTAAGCATCTGCCTTCAGCTCAGGTCATGATGCCAGGGTCCTGGGATCGAGCCCCACTTCAGGCTCCCTGTTCAGCAGGGGGGCCTGCTTCTCCCTCTCCATTCCCCCTGCTTGTGTTCCCTCTCTCGCTGTCTCTCTCTCTCTGTCAAATAAATAAATAAAATCTTTTAAAAAAAAAGATTTAAAAAAATGTATGTCATGTACTTGATGAATATTTGTTGAATGCATGTTTGAGAATGCAGAAGTACTTTAAGCCTTCAACATTTGTTTATGATGGGGTAATTGACAACAGATGAACCATCTCACAGTAAGCAAGTATAAAACTGGACAAAATACATGAAAGCAGTCGGTTTTCAGAAGTTGAACAAGAGCTAACACAAACTATTATCCTTGCAAAAAGATTGAAATAAAAATATTCACAGGTAGAGATGGAGAGAATTCTTGCTGCGTCAAAAGAAATACTAAAGGAAATCCTTCAGGCTAAGAGGAAGCGACACCAGATGGTAACTCACATTCACAGGAAGAAATGAAATGGTAGCTGTAAATAAAATGTAAATATATGGGTACATACAAAAAAAAAAAAAAGAATATATTCTATTGCATTTAAATTGCACAAGTTTGAAGAAAACAAATTTTAACATAGATATAATACATATAACAATAATTGTACAAAGGAACAGAGGATTAAAGTAAATCTATTTTGGAACTTAAAATTCGATATTTTGTCAACATAAAGTTAGGATTAGGAGGGAGTAGATTGTAGTAAATTGGCACAACTGGATATCCACAAGCAAAATGATGAAACTGGATCCCTATCTTATACCATACACAAAGGTCAACTCAAAATGGATTAAAAAGTTGAAGATAAGACCTGAAACTGTTGCCTGAAAGAAAACAGGGGGTAAGCTCCTTGACATTGATCTTAGCGATGATTTTTTTTGGATTTGACAACAAAATCAAAGGCAACAAAAGCAAAAATAAACGAGATTTATATCAAAATAAAATGTGTCTGCACAGTAAAGGAAACCATCAATGCAACGAAATGGCAAATGTGGAACAGGAGAAAATATTTGCAAACTACCTATTCAGTAAGGAGTTAATGTCCAAAATACACAAGGAATACATATAACTCAATAGCAAAAAAAAAAAAGTAACCCAATTAAAAAATGGGCAATAGATCTGAATGGACATTTTTCCAAAGAAGACATACAGATGACCAGCAGGTATATGAAAAGGTACTCAACTTGATTAATCATCAGGGAAATGCAAATCAAAACCCACAGTGAGCTGTCACCTCACACCTGTAGGGGGTTGTGTTACCAGACAAATAAGATGACAAATGCTGGCACGATGCAGAGAAAAGGGAACCCTCTGAGAATATAACTGGTACAGCCATTATGGAAACAGTCTGGAGCTTCCTCAAGAAATTTAAAATAGGATGATAGTATGAACCAGCAACCCACTTCAGCTGTTTCCAAAGGAAATGAAATAAATGAAATCAGTATCTCAAAGAGTTATCTGTACTCCCATGTTTGTTGCAGCATTATTCACAATCACCAAGGTATGGAAATGACTTTGTATCCATCAGTGGGTGGATGGACAAAGAAAATGTGTGGTATATTTGTATACATACCTCAGAATATCATTCAGCCTTTAAAAAGAAGGAAATCCTGCCATTTGTGACAACATGGATGAACCTGGAAAGCATTAGGCGAAGTGAAATATATCAAAGAAAGATGAATACTGTATAATATCGTGTATGTGGAATCTAAAAAAGCTGAACCCTTAGAGAGTAGAAAAGTGATTGGTCCGGGGGTGGGCGAAATGGGGAAATGTTGGTCAGAGGTACAAACTTCCAATTATGAGAGGAATAAGTTGGGGCACCTGGGTGCCTCAGTCGTTAAGCGTCTGCCTTCGGCTCAGGTCATGATCCCTGGGTCCTGGGATCGAGCCCCGCATCGGGCTCCCTGCTCGGCGGGAAGCCTGCTTCTCCCTCTCCCACTCCCCCTGCTTGTGTTCCCTCTCTCGCTGTGTCTCTCTCTGTCAAATAAATAAAATCTTAAAAAAAAAAAACAAGCTCTGGAGATCTCATGTACAGCATGGTGACTGTGGTTGATAATGCTGTACTGTATAATTGAAATTTGCTAAGAGTAGAATTTTAATGTTCTCACCAAAAAAGAAAGAAAAATATGTGTGAGGTGCTGTATATATTAGTTATTTCAATGGTGGGAGTCCCCTCACGCGGTGTGCATTTATCAAGCCATCATGTTGTACACTTTAAATGTATTGCTGTGTTATTTGTCAGTTATGCCTTAATGAAGCTAAAAAAGGGAAAAATAAATTTTATATGAAGAAGTAAAGACCCCAGGTTGCTATTTTTGCTTACCAAGTTATATAACAGTTTTAAAATTTGTAAAATGTATAAGAAGATTGAATCATTATATATCTAAGTGGCTTATGCTAGACATTCTAGCTGCCTGAGATAGCTTAAGAATATCTACTATTTGAAAATGACTAATTTGTAAGATGACTAATATCAGTAACTTTTCATATATAATTTTTGCCTTATTCAAAATCACATTTTTTCTAATCATTTTTTACAGAAGGCTAAAATTTTTGCTTTTTGTTTTTTTAGTTACTAAGATCATAGCATGCTCGGCTTGATTATGAAGAGGAAACTTGCCTATAAATTGAGAAGCTTGTAAAATTAAACTGTGGGACCTAATTATAGGACTGAGGCTTTTCTTCAAGGAATAGGTCACTAGGTTTACAGTGAGAAAAGGAAAAGGTTATCATGAGGAATAGTGTGGGGCTTCCGTCAGGCCGCATATGAGGACTGTCTCTGGCAATAATGACTTAAGTGAATTGGGACTCAACATTTTTTTTAAGACTTAATTGACATTTGCGAGAGAGAGAGTGTGTGTGTGTGTGCGTGCGTGAGCGCAAGCAGAGGGAGAGGGAGAAGCAGGCTCCCCGCTGAGCAGGGAGTCCCCCTTGGGGCTCAATCCCAGGACCTTGGGATCATGACCTGAGCCAGAGGCAGACATTTAACAAACTGAGCTACCCAGGCGTCTTCAAAATAACATTCTTAACTGATGCAGGTTTCCCCCGCTTCTGAGTAGAGCATTCCTATGAAACCTCTGTAATAAGCCCAAATGGTGTAAAACAGCAGTAATCATCAGTTGATATGGAAAAATTTTTTAGCATTTTCCAGAACCAAAAAATAACCTCTTTTAGGCTTTTCTGACATCTTAGGACACATCTTGCTAATGATATGCACAGAATAAATTGAAAGAAAGCACAGATGTTCACAGACATGGTTCAAGCTCTGGATCCCGAGTTGTAGTTCCTGGGGAAGGAGCATGGCGGGGCCAATCACACTGCAAAACAAACACTAAATGTTATTTTCACTTTCTACCATTTTTCATAAAAATGAAAATCCTCTTTGGATTTCTTTTGGTTAGTGAAAACAGATACTGATGTCACTCTCTTAAAAGAAAAGTAGCCTAACATGATCTTTGGAGAAGTGAGAGACACCTGTATATCAAAATGGTACTTGATGGTGTTTGTAAGTACAAGTTTCTTCTGCTTGGGAAGTTTTCCCCCAGAATGCCTTAATGCTAACTCAGTGTTCATATT